GCATATACTCCATTTCCCCAAGGACGCACCTTTCTGTCGTGAATCTTTCAAAGCCCAATACGGTTTCCCCATTAAAAATACACCCTGACAGCCCTAGCCGGTTTGGCTGAGTGGGTAGAGCCTCGGCCTGCGGACTGAAGGGTCCCGGGTTCAATTCTGGGCAAAGGCATGGACCTTGGTTGCCGGTTTGGTCCCCAGTAGCGGGTCGTGTAGGAGGCAGCTGATGGATGTTTCTCTCTCATCCATGTTTCTAACTCTTTACCCCTCTCCCTTTCTGTAAAGTATATATATACACATATATTTGTTTATTTATTTATTTAAATAATCCTAATAGTACAAAGATAGGTGCAGACCGCAGGATGGAGAGCCAGGCCCAGTGGGCCCTACACACCACATTTCCTCACTTGTGCCCACGGGTGAAATCTCAGGGTGGTTCATCAGAATGACCACCCCAGTGGGAGTAACGTGCACACACACTGGGCGGTGACCGGTTGGGGATAAGGAACGGACAGATAAGGATTAATCTGGGTCCCCGTTATAGGGTGCCAGCCTCTTAGGCTTTCTCGCTTGCTGTCTCCCTCGCTCGTCCCCCTTGCCTTTCCCGCCCTCGCCATCGAGAGGGACTGTGGACTAGCCCGCCACCTGCCTTTCCCGCCCCCGCCATCGAGAGGGACTGTGGACTAGCCCGCCACCTGCCTTTCCCGCCCTCGCCATCGCGAGGGATTATGGGCCAGCCCGCCTCCTCCAGAGACCGCGCTGCGTCCAGCCCCCCCCCTCCCCCCACCAACGCCTTTCTGCGTGACCAGTTCGGAGCAAGCTGAATTCCGAGACCGTTAGTCCGTAAGGGCCTGCTGGCTTAAGAAGTAGCTGGAAAAGTAAGCGGGTAATATCCCCAGAGTGGGCTGGCGTGGGCTCCCCTTTCTAAGATGCAGTCGTTGGGGTACGCAAGACGGGTAATATCCCCAGAGTGGGCTGGCGTGGGCTCCCCGTTTTAAGATGCAGTCGTTGGGGTACTGCTCCTGTTCGGGGGCAGAGCTGGTAAAAGACAGAGGCCGTTGAGGGACTTGGGAGGTGGCTTACTGAGTCTGTCCTTGCCTAGGTGAGCGATGATTTCTTTCGGGCCAACCTATGTGGGCCACTTGAGCAAATCCTTCACGTTTCGAATGCTCGCTACCGGTCCGCTGGAAAAAAAAAAAACACCCCAAAAACACGGTAGCTCATAGCACCGTTTTTCTTGAAGCCAAAATTAAAGCCTAGTACCCTTTTTATTCTACCACGAGCTACTTGCAGATTGCGAGCCCCCCTTGGGGTGGGGGTGAATTCGAGAAGTGTCTGTCCCCTCGTTGGTAGGGCAGAGAAGTCGGGCAGGACTGACCAAAATGTGGTTTGTTTTTCGGTCAGTACGTTGCTTAACCTCTAGTCTGACCCACAGCAGGGCACACCGTGGGCATTTCATACAGTTGTCCACAGGGAGGATTCGTGCTTATGCTTGTAAAGCAACTGGGGTCTTGGGATGGTGTTAACATAGTTAAGAATAGTTCTTGAGTTAGCTTGGTCAAATTCAGTGGGATTGGCAGTGTTTAGAATTTTGTTTCATTGGCATTGGAGAGTTAAGAAACTAGTTAACTCTATCTGTAGCTATACAATTATGTGTTGTTTATATCTTATTCTGACCCTTGAGTTGCCTGCAATTATTGTTTGTACCATGATTGTTAAGTTTTTTTAAAAACCTGTATAATCAGGCTTTCAAACTAGGATCCAAGTTTATGAGGCTAGGCTCCAGGAACTAACAGAACTATAGGATTTATACGGAAGGTGCATCTTCCTTCCTGTAGTATCAGGTTTTCTCAAATATGTTTTTTTTTTAATATATTTTTATTGATTTCAGAGAGGAAGGGAGAGGGAGAGAGAGAGACATCAACGATGATAGAGAATCGTTGTTCGGCTGCCTCCTGCATGTCCCCTACTCGGGATCTAGCCCACAACCTGGGCATGTGCCCTTGAGCAGAATCGAACCTGGGACCTTTCAGTCCACAGGCCGACGCTCTATCCACTGAGCCAAACCAGCTAGGGCTTTTTTTTTTTTTTTTTAGAGAGAGAAGAGTTGAGTAATTTAATTGGTAAACCATTTAAAGCATTTTCTATTGAATAAGTATTAATATATTGTAGAGTGAGCTTCAAACATAAAAATACATTTAAAAATACATTTTAAGATAAAGACTTTGAAGAAAGATCCTGTTTAAACTGGACACTTCAGTAGTCTCCCAACGCCTCCTAGGTATATGTTTTTATTTTGCTTTGCAATGGGGGTTACTTGTTGAAAAAGTTTGAGAGGCACCATGATGGATATAAGCTTTGGAGTCATACAAATTTGGTTTTTATCACATCTCTGGAAATTACCAACTGTGAGACTTTCAGCAAGTTTACTCAGTTTTCTTACCTGCAAGTAGAAGGTTATTATTTCATGGGGTTGTTGGAAAGATTAAATGAATACATATTAAGTATTTGGCACAGAAAAGGTATATAATAAATCTTAGTTTCTCCATTTAAAAATGTTCTAATATGTGTATTCAGTTGAATGAAACCTAGCTCATCAAAGTGCTAATGCTGTGAGACTTTTTTTAAAAGTGCCTACAGCCCTAACCGGTTTGGCTCAGTGGATAGAGCATCAGCCTGCGGGCTCAAGGGTCCCAGGTTCGATTCTGGTCAAGGGCATGTACCTTGGTTGCGGGCACATCCCCAGTAGGGGGGTGTGCAGGAGGCAGCTGATTGATGTTTCTCTCTCATCAGTGTTTCTAATTCTCTATCCCTCTCCCTTCCTCTCTGTAAAAAATCAATAAAATATATTTTTAAAAATTAAAATTAAAAAAAAATTAATTTAAAAGTCCCTACAGCTCTAGCTGGTATGGCTCAGTTGGTTGAGCATCGTCCTGTGTACCAAAAGGGTTCCTAGTTCAATTCCTGGTCAGGGCACCTGCCCAGGTTGCAGGCTCAGTCCTCCGTGGGGGGTGGAGGGTGTGTGTGTGCAGGAATCAGCTGATCGATTATTTTCTCTCTCAAACCAGTATTTCTCTTTCTCTCTCCCTCTGAAAAATCAATAAAAACATTTTAAAAACATGTCCTTGAGTGAGGATTGAGAAAAGAGAAAAAAAAGGAAGTTCAATGGAGGTGAACATTCCAAATCAGAGAAAGTCATCAAGCACTGTTTTTGGGTCAATAGATGAGTCAATCTAAGTAGTTCTATCTACAAAAACTAGGAGATGTGCTCAGTTCAGAAGGCAAGGCAGCCCCAGGGACCGCTCATCCAGTAACAGGGGAGGGGGACATAGGCAATACTTTCAACAATAAAGATTTTTTTAAAAAGAAAGAAAAAAATAAAAAGTGCCTACAATTGTAAAGTGCCAAAGAAAAGTTGTTTTACATATGTGATGTGATTTGATTTGAAAAAACTCTGGCCTTGGCCGGTGTGGCTCAGCTGGGCATAGTCTGGTGCACTGGAAGGTTGCTGGTTCGTTTCCTGGTCAGGACCCATGCCTGAGTTGAGGGCTTGATCCCCTGGGTTGGGGTGTGCAGGAGGCAGCTGATTAATGTTTCGCTCTCACATTCATCGATGTTTCTCTTTCTCTTTCCCTCTCCCTTCGTGTCTCTCTCTCATAAAATTGATAAAATATATTTTATAAAAATCTCTGAATCTCTTTTTCCCTATCCCTTCGTGTCTCTCTCTCTCTTTCTCTCTCTCTCTCTCTCATAAAATTGATAAAATATATATTTTTTAAAACTCTGAATCAAGCACAGCGGCGTGGCTCAGTGGTTGAGCTTTGACCTATGATCCAGGAGGTCATGGTTCGATTCCTGGTCAGGGCACATATAGGAGGCAACTGATGGATGTTTCTCTCTCCCTAAAATCAATAAACATATCCTCGGTTGAGGATAAAAAAAAATTTACAATGATAAGTGAAAAACATTAAAATTCTCCATTCAAACAAGGTATACAAGGATTTTTTGTTATTCTTTTTGTTGTTGTTGTTAAACAGTGAGAGTAAAATAACTTTTCTGGAATATAAAAATAAGAGCTGACCCAGCTGGTGTGGCTCTGTGGTTGAGCATCAACCTATGAACCAGGACCTAGTCACAGTTGGATTCCTGATTAGGGCACATGCCTGATTTTGGGCTCGATCCCCAGTGAGGGGCATGTAGGAGGCAGCCCATCGATAATTCTCATTATTAATGTTTTTATCTCTCTCTTCCTCTCTGAAATCAATAAAATTTTTTTTAATATATTTTATTGATTTTTTACAGAGAGGAAGGGAGAGGGATAGAGAGTTAGAAACATCGATGGGAGAGAAACATCGATCAGCTGCCTCCTGCACATCTCCTACTGGGGATGTGCCCGCAACCAAGGTACATGCCCTTGACCGGAATCGAGCCCGGGACCCTTGAGTCCGCAGGCTGACACTCTATCCACTGAGCCAAGCCGGTCAGGGCAATAAAATATTTTTTTAAAAAATATTTGGAAAATGGGGTGATTCTGGTGTGAATCTTGTAGAGACAAAGAACAGGTAAACTTGGAAACTCCAATTCTAATTTACAATGAAGCAGGAAGGAGAGGGTTGAGAAGGCTGATTATATGTGTACACATTATATACACATACCATTGCCTAAGATAGGATATCCTCTTTTCGAATTGTGTTATGATTTTAGGAGGGCTCAGGAGTTTCTTGTAGGATGGATTCTCTGGTGGTCTTGTTCTGGATTTCATAGGCACCTGTGAAAAACCAAAAGGTTGACCCTTGCAGTGCTGAGCTCGTAAAGGTTTAAGGATGTGTCAAAACACCACTTACTTATTCTTGCTCCGGAGGGAAGACACTCTTATCATGAAGGTGGATTTCCAACTGTG